GTGTGTGTGTGTATATATATATATATATATATATATATATATATATATATATATATATATATATATATATATATATATATATATATATATATATATATATATATATATATACACACACACACACTAGTATTTAGACCCGTGCAAAGCACGGTTTCTAAAAAAAATTATGCAAATATTGAACATGTTACCAAAATAAAGTATTCTGCTTTAGATATGATCTAGTATTCATCACGTGCTAAGCACGACATCCTCCTGAAAGTGCTGCTTAAATAAGAAGCAAGAAGTTCTATGCTGCAAATGAGTAGAACATCAAGATAGATTCGCTTCTCCATCTAGAACTTGCTAACAGTAACTGTTCAAATGATTATAAAACCACCTTTACTCTTTCTGCTGAAAAAAAAAGAACACAAATCAGAATAAAGTAAAATGTTTTCAAGATGAAAAAAATACAAGATCAAAAGCTTTACTTTGATTTCAGGGGAAGGTAACTTCCATTTTGATCTGCTTCAGAATACAGTCAATTTAGTAAAGGAAACCAATATGTCACAATTAAATGTGATAGCTAATTTGCTATTTGTTCTTCACACTCAGAGGGTAAAAGAAAACAGAGAAAGCTAGCACATCATAAGCATAATTTAAATGTGAAGAATAATGAATAACCTTCATCTCATGTAACAGGAAAGCACCAGTTTATCTATGCACTAGTATTGTATATTAGAGTATTTTGTCAAGACATGATTGTCTTCTGTCTCTTATAATTGTTGTAGCTGTGAAGGAAACTATTCTTCGCTACCGACAACGACAGAGGCGGCAACGGCGGTGGCGGAGCAGAGGAGGCAGAGGATGCCATTGAAGATGAAGGAGGAGGAGTTGATTTTGCTCTTGATTGCTTCTCGGATTTGGCTGTAATCAACAAAATAAGTAAACCCTTAAAAGTTTGGAGGATGCTATTGAAGATGAAGGAGGATGCCATTGAATCTTTTTCTGAAAGTTGAGAGAGGAAAAGAGAGAATCGTGGGTTGTAAAAAGGAAAAAAACAACAAATATTCTGCAAATGTATCAATCTACAATGTCTGCAAATATAATTAGTTTTGGGTAATTTTAATCTTTGCAAATGCATCAATCTACAAATATAACCTGCAAATATAATTAGTTTTGGGTAATTTTAATCTTTGCAAATGCATCAATCTACAAATATAATCTGCAAATATAATTAGTTTTGGGTAATCTTTATGTCTGCAAATGCATCAATCTACAATGCTTCAATCAACCATCCCCAAAATAAATCTAATATTCTGATTTTTTTAATATTAAATAATTAAGAGAAAATTCATCTCCAACTCAAAAAATTTGATCACATAGAAACTAATTCAACGTCAGACCCTAAAAAACAACAGATTTTAAAAACTAAAGAACAGTATGGTAAGAAGAAAAAAAACAACAACTCACCTCCATCCCACGGAGTATCATCAGGCCTGCAAATCAAAACCCAAAGTTCATCAGAAAACCCTAAAAATCTAAAATCAAACCAAGGATTCGACATCAACTGTAAAATTACCCAAAGATCACGGTGTTCCATAGCATGATGTTGTTATCCTGCGGGGCTCCACTGATTCCCGCGGGCAGATCATTCTGCAACCTCTTGAAATCCCTCATCAGCCTTTTCCTCACTGGCGTCGACATCGATTCAAGCCTAAACGATTGAAATAGGCCCCGTACATCATTCTGATGTTCGTCGCCTAAAAATTTCGATGTTCTGATTAAATGAGGGCATGCAAGTGAAAGATGAAAGTGAGAAAGTTACTTTCATTTAACAATTAAGGTGTTTGTTTTCATGTAAGTGGTTATGAAAGTGAGATGCAAGAAAGTTGTCACATATGATTTAATGCAATTTTGATTTCCCCTAAAAAATGGTGAAGTCACATGAAAGTGACAAAAATGTAACTAATTTAATTAAATAATTTTAATTATACTTTCTAATTAATCTAATTTTGCCACGTCATCTTCACATTGCACTTTCGACAATAATTTAATTTTTCAAACAAACATTGTATTTCACTTGCGTACTAACATGGATATAAAAGTCATTTGCAAAAAAAGTAATTTACATATTTTAAATTTATTTTCAAATTGCCAAACACCCCCTAACTCAACAATGGATGGTTGTGGAGAATTAAGGGGGAAATACATGGAAATTTAGATAATTACTGTTCATTTTAGCTTTTTTGTTATTTTCCAATACTCAATGTAATAAGAATAAATAATATATATATATAATATATATATATATATATATATAATAAACAATGCAATACTCACACTCAAACTGCTAAAAAGCAAACGCCCCCACCCCACGCACGTGCCTCCTCCCCTCTAACGGCGCTAACCGTCATCTAACGCCGTCAATCCAGCCCCCACCCCGCAGTTTACCAAAAAGAGGCGCATTTGAAATTCGAAAATCCCACCGTAAGTACCACCACGTCTCTCTTCTCCTCCCTTTCAAAAACCCCACACCCAACCAACTTCTCCTCATCCCGATGATCCCCCGAAATCCCGACCCCGCGCCGCCGTCGTCGTCAGCGAGCAATGGCGTCCGTGACCCGATGCCTGATGAGCCCCCAGTCCATGAACTCCTCCAGCGGCCCCGTCGCGCGCTGCTCGGCGGGGACCACCGTCCCTGTCTCCAGGTGACCGGCATCGCCCCGCCCCTCCGCTCTGGCCCTCCCGCCGGGTTCCCCTCCAGCATGTCGCGACTCCGTCAACTCCACCTACGTCTTCGTCACCGACCGGCCACCTCCGCCGCGGGTCTCACCTGGCCACTCCCCACGTTGACCGCCTCTCCCTCCCACCCCTCCCCTCGCCCCTCCTCAGGCCCATCCCCTCCTCGCGCGCTCCCTCCCCTCTCCTCGCTCCCCACCCCCTCTCCGTCAACTCCTCCCCGACGACCCTGCCTCCTTCCTCATCCCCACCGCAGACAACCCGCCCCTCCCAGCAGCCCCCGCCGCCCCCCCGCTGCCCCGCGCCCCGCCGCCGCTCCCCCAAAGACGCCGCGTCCGTCAGGAGGGACCCTCCCCGGGCTCGCGAGGGAGGGCGGGTCCGAGGCGCCTCGTGCGCCCCCTGCCCGTTCCGGAAGTGCGGCGTGCAGAGCGCTGGTCGCGGCGAAGGAGGAGAGGAGGGCGGCGGCGAGGGTCAGGCGAGCGATCGTGCGTGATGCGTCTAGGTACATCGAGGAACGGCCGTCTCCGGTCGGCGGGGAGGAGGAGCGTCAGTCTCCGTGGCGTGGTGGAGGAGGGGGTCGGTGTCGGCCAGGGGTGCTGGGAGAGGGGCTTATCGATTAGGGGGAGGGGGACGGGAGCGGCGGCGCGCGGCGGAGGGAGGATAGAAGGGCGGGGTTGTGTGGCGAGGGTGTGCGAGGGGTCGTGGCGGTGAATAGGTTCGATGACGGAAGGAGCTGGGAGAGATAATTCAGGGAGGGGAAGGAAAAGGGGAAGTAGGGGGAGGAGCAAGGTCGATCAGCAGGCTATTTTGAGGACCCAGGTAAAACACTAAAATTAAATATTCCGCGGTGTGAACTGAGTTCAGGTTTGACGATGAACGCGTTTGAGATCGGAAAAAGCTTAGATTTTTATTTATGCAAACGTGGTACGTGACGTCGAGTAAAGTTCAATTCTTGATCCGTGGTTCAATCTCAGGTCGCTATTTCACAAAGGCTGAGCGATGCCGGAAAGGAGCAGCAACCGCCTAACGGTAGCGAAGAAGAGGAAGCACCAAGAAACGAGAAGAAGAGAATCGTGAAAAGGACGACGGACTCCTCCTCTCTCTCAGAGAAATCGAACCACCACGCACCCGCGAGAATTACCGTCCATGACTGTAAATGGACGGACGGCAGCATCTCTTTAGATGCCGTCTCTGAAAATCTCTCAAAGCTTGGGAAGGTATGAGAAAAATCTTGCTGTTACTCTTTTTCTTCTCTTTCATGAACCATCCTTGGCTTCATCTCTCACCTTTCTAATTGGAAAAAAACAGGAGGCTCTGCAGAGAAGAAATCTAGCTTCTATGGCTGCAGCCGAGGCTCTAGAAGATGCGTTGGCCACTGAATCTTTTATAAGGTGTTTGAGGTAAATTTTGGATTTTTTTTTACGTACACCTCTTAAATCATTCATGTGAATTTGCAAACTACCCGCCAAATCAACAAATCAACAACTTTGGTAGGTTAATTGTCAAACAACAACATAAGAATATCAACAAAATAGTCAAATTTTGACTAACCATATCCAACTAAGTTTTTTTCTTTGTCTTTTTTTCCCCTCCCTTCTTCTTTCCAAAGTTGATGGTTTGGGGTAGTTTTGCAAATACTTAATTGGGTTTATATGACTAAATGGATTTTGTACTTGAATGACTTCTTGCGCAGCATGTTTTCAGATCTCTGCTCGTCATCAAAAGCAGGAAATCCGCTTCCAACCATCGACAGATTCCTATCGATATACGAAGATACAATAAAGTGCACTTCTATCTCAGAATCACTTGCTTCTACCCGCAGCACCGGTGGACTCACTGAAGTCCTTTCATTGGATAGAACCAAGCCAGCCTCTCTCTGGGTCGAGGCAGCATTAGCCACTGACCTTGAAGTTGTATCCTTGGTGAGCTCAACCCTCGATAGCAACACAAAACAAAAGATTTTCGGAAAACCTGCAGCTCCTCTGGCCGATACTACCAAGGTGAACTTTTCAAAGAAGAACTCCTTCATAACTCCTGTGAAGGGCCAAGCAAAGGTCTCAACAACCAATATGTGGAGTAAAGGGCAGTCTATTAGCGAGACTGTAAACTTTGCCAAGTCCCTCCGACGAGAGATGCAGAATTGGTTCATGAAATTTGTGGAGGATGCACTGGATGTCGGTTTTCGGTTATTTGGTGAAGTGTTGGAGGATGGTAGAGAGGCTTCGTGCAAGGATAATGGGAGAGTTGCAGCTGTTTTATCGCAGTTAAAGAGAGTTAATGATTGGCTCGATGCGGTAGGAAAGAAGCCAGAGGAGGAGACGATTCTCGTGGAGAAGATCGAGAGGCTGAAACGAAAGATTTATGGCTTTGTTATAACTCATGTGGGATCTGCATTTGACAGCTCGGTTTCACTTTCGAAGGTTGGATGATTATCGATCCTCGTTTTTCGTTGTTTGTGTAGTCTTGTAGAATTTAGACGGGGGATATGAAGACTTGCATGATTGTATTGATGTTTTCTTGCTCTAATCACTGATTAGTCTGTTTTTTTTTTTTGAATAAATTGTTGTCTTTCGTTGTAGCGTGCAAAGTGTAGTATGTAGATAGAGGTTGAATCTTGTTTTCAAGATTCTGTGAACTCTTTTTATGTTCATTCTAAAAGGAAAATAGAGGATGAGCTTTTTTACATCCATCTCAATGCTTGTTTCAGGTTGAGCTCATCACGCTGATAACAAGAGAACATCATCTTTTTTTAAAGGATTTTTTATCCCCACCCCTTTTAAGGAATGAGCATCGTCTAATTTTCTTCACTGCTTGTTATTATGAGGCACTACATTGAAGTAGCTCCGTGTGCATGTGACAGGAGAAGAATTGCTAAGAAAAATATATAATTTTACTTGAAAAACTGAGTATTGTTAGCATTGTGAAGGATTTGTGAAACGGTGATAGATTAAAGAAGCTTATTTGCAGGTCTGCAATCGGTGTAAGAAGCTTATTTGCAGGTCTGCAATCGGTGTTGTATTGCAAAAATTTAACAAATGGCAACAAACTCCCCTTAAAAAAATCACGTAAGCGCTATTTTTTTAGTTATATCAACATAATCTTAGTAGTCAAGTTTAATTTAGAGCGATTTAGTATTTATTAAATTTATGGTTGAAAAGCTGTCAATCAACTTCTATTTTAAAATAGAAACTTGGGGTACAGATCTAAATAAAATTACGATAGTATAGCAATAAACTTTAAAAGGAGTATATTTACGGTTTATAAGCCACATTGACATGTTTGGTAAATGGGTTATTTTGGTTCATAAGCCACCAAAAAATAAGCTAGAGTATCATTGCTTAATTTTTGGTGGCTTATAAGCGACAAGGTTTGACCAAGTAAAAGACCAATATACCCTTCAATATTTTACAAAAATCCTAGACTTATTTACCTCTCTCTCAATCCAATTAAATCTTTTTTTGGTCATTTCACAACAATGATGGCTTATAATTCATCGAATTGCCAAACACTCTATTATTGGAAATAAATTTTAATACACTAAATTTATCAAACATTTTGGCCTATAGTCCACCTGAATTATAATTTATTTGTGGATTATGATTCACTTGCTTATAATCTGTTTGTGTATTATAAGCCAATTGGATCATAATCCTACGTTGCCAAACATGCTAAAATTTTAGGGGTTAAAAAGTTCTACAATTAACATGTGAGTGTTGCATGAGAATCTTTCGTGGGAAATTCTGACGTTCACATAACTAACGGTATTTAAGTGCAAATTTTAAAAGTTTTAGGGTTTATAAGTGCTAGCAAAAACAAATGAGGGCACATAAGCGCACAAGAATTCAAACTATAGGGTATCTAAGTGCAATTAAGCCTAAAAATAACAATTTTTACTGCTTTTCAAACGCTAGCATAGAATCCAAACTAGTGTGCACCCCATGCAAAGTACGACCCTCATTTTTTTATTTTTACTACAGTAATTTTGTTTTCAAATGTTTTTTAAGTGCTATAGTAATATTTTTTAACTGCTGCGGTATCCCGTTTTGCTACAGTGATAGTGCTGCAGTGATATTTATAAAACACTACGGTACTGTAATAATGCTACAGCAATTTGCTATATTATTTTCTGTAACATGAATAGTAAATCTTTGGATCCTCTTATTATTACAGAGGAATAGATATCTCTCCAGAGTACGATGGGTTCTATGAATCTAGTTGAATCCTCTTATTAAGTGGCAGCTTGCACTTTCCTCGTTGAATCCGGTTCAAATTTCAAAAAATATGACCGTTCTCAGTCCGAAAAGTACAATGGGCTACAAAAAGCCCATAACCGAACCGACATTTTCTCAATTCTCCTTCAATCTCCGCTCCCATTTCTCTTTTCCCTCTCAATTCTCCTTTCAAAAAACTCAGTCCCCAAAAAAAGAACCCAAACCCTAAACCTAACCCTAGACTCTCAATCTCTCAGATCTAGGGTTTGAATCGCCATGGAGAAGTACGAGAAGCTGGAGAAGGTCGGCGAGGGGACCTACGGCAAAGTCTACAAAGCCCAGGACAAGGCCACCGGCCAACTCGTCGCGCTCAAGAAAACTCGCCTCGAGATGGACGAGGAGGGGATCCCTCCGACTGCGCTTCGCGAGATCTCGCTCCTTCAGATGCTCTCTCAGAGCATTTATGTCGTCAGGTCAGGGTTTTGGCTTCGTTCGATTTGAAACCCTAGGTTGATTAGTTCGATTTGGGGGTTCTCGATGGATTAATTTATGGTTGCAAGGTTGAATTTTGGTCTGTGGATCGAAAATACAAAGTTGCAATTTATTTTTTTGATTTTGGGGGTTTTATGGGTTAATTTAAGGTTGTAGGTGTCGTTGTATTTTGGTTTCTGGATTCGAAACCCTAGGTTGGTTGTTTGGATTTTCTGGTTTCTTGCGGTTTAATTAGTTGTGGCAACGTAAGAATTTGGTTTGTGGAGTCAAAATCCTAGGTTGATTGTTTAGAACTTGTGGTGGTAAGATGGGTTAATTTATGGTTTCTTGATTAGGTTTTGGTTTGGGATTTGAAACCCTAAATCGACTTCTTAGAATTTGGGGGTTCTTGATGGGTTGACTCATGGTTGTGATGTTAGATTTTGGCATCTCAGATTTGAAATAAATGTAGGTTGATTGTTAAGAGTTTGGGGGTTTTATGGGTTGATATATGGTCGTAAGATTAGGTTTTGGTTTGTGGATTTGAGACACTTGATTTGGGTTAGGGGCCTTTTGATTGGTTGGTTGATTGGGGGTTTTGTTGTAGATTGTTGAATGTGGAGCATGTGGATAAGAATGGGAAGCCGATGCTTTATTTGGTGTTTGAGTATTTGGATACAGATCTGAAGAAGTTTGTTGATGTGTACCGTAAAGGGCCAAACCCTCGGCCACTTCCTCCGAATGTCATCCAGGTATTATTGGCTCCTTGTTCTGAAACTTCCAATTGGTTTTGTGTGGTAATTTTGTATATTTCAGTTTAGAATTACAAGATCAAATGTTTTTAGAGTATGAAGTTTGTTAGACCTCGGAGTACTCACTCTTAAAAGTTTCATGTGGAATTTTTAGTTTGAATCATTGATGTAGTTGATGCCAGTGTTATCAATGCGCGAGGCGCAATGCGGGGCGCATAGCATCTTTACACGCACATGCGCAATGCGATACGTGCGCTCAAGTGATGCGAGGCGCACACCGCCCACATAATTTTTCAAAATATATAATCAAGCACGAAAGAACATGTTTTTAGAATGCACATGAAAAATATCATGATAAATAATATCTTACTACAAAATCACAATATAATGCATGCCTTCATTTCTAATGCTAACACCCAACATAGTAGCAAAATTCATAAATTTTCAAATCAAATGTTAAATCAAGACTACCCAACATAGTAGCAAAATTCATAAATTTTCAAATCAAATGTTAAATCAAGACTAATATCCAAGCAAATGATTAGTAATGGAATTTTCAAATCAAATGTTAAATCAAGACTAATATCCAAGCAAATGATTAGTAATGGTCCTCAATTGAAGGTTACTAAAAAGGCCTAATGGATTTATTTTGCTTTTTTGGGATATGGAATATCAAGTATAAAGACTCAATTGAAATGTTAACAAACAAAACTATACGAGGATATGTACTGCATGCACCCTGCAAAAAGTAAGGATGTACGCAAGGCGCGAAAGGCGCTGTTGCATTAGAAGTGGGGTGCTTCCCCACCGTCCCGCATCGTAAGGCGCATGAGGCGCAGTGAGACGCGCGCCTTTGAAAACACTGGTTGATGCTAAAGTGTCAAAATTTTAAAAGCTTTAGTATGAATGTTGTTTTATTTTGGTAAACCGTCTTTTGTGTCACAGAGTTTCATGTATCAGTTGTGTAAAGGAGTTGCTCACTGTCATAGTCATGGAGTGCTCCACAGGTAGTTCTATTTTTCTTAAATCATCCTCTATTAGCATTGAAGTGGATTATCTACATGAAATATCTATATGCATGTATAACAGGGATTTGAAGCCCCAGAATCTTTTGGTGGACAAAGAGAAAGGGATCTTGAAGATAGCTGATCTTGGGCTTGGAAGAGCCTTCACGATTCCTCTTAAGAGCTACACTCATGAGGTTTCGTATTATGCATCATAGTAATCTTTCTTTCAGTTATAACTAGATGTAATTGTTTTTTGGCATGGAATTTATGGTGTAGATTGTTACACTCTGGTATAGAGCTCCTGAAGTGCTATTAGGAACAAGCTACTACTCGACTGGAGTAGACATGTGGTCTGTAGGGTGCATTTTCGGTATGTCCCATCCTCTCCTGTTCAGCCTTCGTTATAAAGTTAGATTTTATTTATTCGAGATTGATTGCTTTTTTCCATTCTTTAGTGAAGCACATGAAATTAATTACTTTACAAGTGTTTGCTATTGTTGCATTTTGCACATTCTATATCTGCCTGTAGCATGTTTCTTACTGTAGGAAACCAGTGATATCTAGCTTTATGCTTTGCCTTCATAGATTGGAAGTAAGACTTCCCGCATGATTAACTAACACTAGCACTATAGCTATGTCAATGGTAAATGCCCATGATATCGATGATTTCCAATTTTAAAGTCTCTTGTGTGATTACTGATGGATTAGGGTCAGTAGTTACTGATGAATTAAGGTTAATAATTACTGAGGTATTAAACAAGACTTTATATCTTCATGGAATGTTAACTTTGCAAGATAACTTGATTTTGGGCTACACTAATATATTGCTCTAAGCAAAATATTCTGGCTGTAAGTTGGCATGAGGATGGAGGACTTCGTTTTAAATTTTGACGTGCTCACAGGCAACTAGCCATGAATAAAAAGTTTCCTTTGTAATTACATGTAAAGAACAATTAGGTAATATTTTGTTAACATGCTGAACATTTTGAAATTTGCATAAAATGGTCTGGACACATTGTATCATCATATATCTAATATGTATCCAACAGATGCAATACCACTGTCAAGACGGGCGTGATTTATTAACTTCATATTGGATACTGACTTTTAATGGGAATATTTATCCAGTGATTTAGTTTACATGTTACTGAATCTGGAGAATAATCCTCAAAAGGAAAATTAACTCGAGGATTTGGAGGGCCAAAGCATCAGGAATTGTCTAAGAAATTGGGATGCAAGAGTGTTGTAGGAATTCTGGTATCTTTGATGGCAGAACTATAGTTGATTTCTTCCAATATGATGAAAACATTGGATATTTGAGTCATGCAAGGCTGTCTTAAACTTTGATCTTGTCATCTTTAGCTGACTAGTATTATATAGGATGTTTAATCAATTTATACATGAGCACGCTTCATATATTCATTTAAGTTACAGTTTCGGTTTATACACCAGTCTCTTCCATATATTCAATTGAAATTACTGGAAGCTTTTGCACATGTTTCTTTTACTTTTCCTTTCTCTCATAAGAAAATCTACTGCTGCAGCTGAAATGGTGAGGAGACAGGCTTTATTTCCTGGTGACTCAGAATTACAGCAATTGCTTCACATCTTCAGGTATTTTAAGAGCAAAAAAAAAAAAACATTTGTGCTACTATTGCTTGAGCATAAACGATACTAATTGTGGCAAATTTTAAATACTACTAATTTTACACTCTCCTTAAACAATCAATTTTCTTCCCATAACCAAAAAAAAAGATATGAAATTTTATGTAGACTTAGTTTCTTCTGCTAATATACCTTATATTTTTTTTCTGAAAGGTTGCTGGGGACTCCATCTGAAGAACAATGGCCTGGTGTGAGCTCTCTCAGAGACTGGCATGAATATCCACAGTGGAAGCCCCAGAACTTGGCACGTGCTGTCCCGTCACTGGAGCCCGAGGGCATTGACCTATTATCTGTAACTTTCATTACATTTCACATTTTAACATTACTATCTCACTGTTGAAATATTGATATTTTTTTTCTTTCTGTAAATTATTGCAGAAAATGCTCCAATATGATCCAGCGAACAGGATATCAGCAAAGGCAGCAATGGATCATCCATACTTCGACACCCTCGACAAGTCGCAGTTTTGATGTTCTTGGTTTTCAATGAAATTTGTAGCAGAAAGCTTCTCCCTTTCAAGTTTGATTGGAAAAGGAGTATATCACTGTTGTGGCAACTGCACTAGTTGTCTTAAAAAGTTTGGCTGATGTATGGAGTCTGTTCTCAATTTGCTTCAAGGTTTCACGAAGTTGTATAAAACTAGCTAAATATAAGTACATTGTTCTCAAATTCTATTGTTTCAGCTTTCCTCAAGATAGTTAACCAAATTGGTTTGTCGCACGATGTTTTCAAGTGGGCTTCATATAGTTTTTTCATAGACTATGCATTCATATTTATCGGTAGGGCATTGTTCCAAAATAATTGACAGCTCATCGCTTCTTTCTAGTTATGGTCCGTTTGGATAATGGAAGTATTAGAAGTAAGAAGTAGGTTATAGAAATAACTTTCAAAGCTATGAAGTAAGAAGTAGTGGAAATAGTGTTTTTTTTTTTGTTTCATATATTTTTAGAAGTAATGGAATTCCTCTTCATTTACTTTTTTTGTTTGGATAACATTTGGAAATATTATTAGGAAGTAATTTTATCAATGAAAAGTTGTTAGAAGTAACTAATAAAAAAAATATTAATAAAAAAATTATTTATGTCATAATTAATATGCATTTCAACTATTTCCGAGCTATTTCTGAGTATTAAGGATTGGAAAAATATTTTGGAAGTAAGGATGACACGTAGGCGCCACATAAGTATTTAGGGAAGCATTGGAAGTAAGTTTTTCAGAGAACCAAACACACTTTTTTGCTTGGAAGTAGCAAAAGTAGGCTCTACTTCTTTTACTTCAGCTACTTCACAATTACTTCCGTGCAAACAAAAATTTCTAACACTAACACTTCCGCATGCTTTTTTTTGTATTTGCCCATCAAACAAGTTCACATGTACATCATCTGATCCTTCCCATGACAAAAACATCCTCACATTTATTGCTATCATTGGGAAAGAGAATAGGATCATTGAGCGACCGGGATACTTACGTACTAGTGCCCAAAGTTCGCAGCTGCTTGATTTTGACAAAGAAGACGGATGATCATAACCCATAGAATTCAAATTGGTACAGGGATATAATCCAGAAATCCCAACTAAAATAGCAGCAACCTCACCGTGCAGCTTATAAAACCTGTATGAGTATTTCATATAGATTTTACCGGCATAATAGTTCATAACTATATTACGAGACACCTTGACCACTCCGAAAGAAGGAGAATAAAATTGAACGCCGCAAAATTAGATTGAAACTCACATAACAAATATTGTCAACGAATACAAAATAAAATTGGAAGGGTGGGGGAAGCACAACAAGACCCTATGTCTTAAGATTAGGGGGAAATACAGAGACAATGCATCAAATTACATTTGTAGCAGCGATTTGCTGCTCGGCTTTCTGATGTCCACGCTAATTAGACCAAACATGAATTATACCATGTTTGTTGCCAGTATAAATCTCACACCGCTCCTCGTCATAGTATAGTGCAGTAATATCGTCCAGAGCTTCTGTTAAACTGCTCCCGACTTTGGAATTGCATGCAGTTTTGCTCAAGTTACTAGCCTGAATTTTCGCGAGGCATTTTCCAGTCAAAATGTTACTGATGTTAATGGATCCAGCTGTTTCAATGAAGAAAAAGTAGAATTAGCAGCAGTCTCACTTATGGCAATTGAAAGGAAGCATGCAAGCTAAAACATCTATTTGTGGTGGTAAGAAATAGAGATATTTCAGCAATTTTCATCTTCCACTATTCATGAATTAAACATTAACTAGCACTTAATTTTTCACGAAAATCAAAAGAGTCTTCGTGAAGCATTTCAGAAATTTCTGTTAAGCTATGCTTATATACCCTCAAATATTTTTGCATTTCACCAACAGTAACAAAAAACCGTAACAAAGCAAAACCACGGTGTTAAGAATTAAGCTAATTTAATTAACCGCTTTCACTTCTTTAGGTTTCTGACAAGTTAATAGGGTCGCTGAAAAATTTGATTGTTTAGATGAAGAAAAAGAGAGAGTTTAGATATCTGAATACAAAATATTAACTATATTAGTCAAAACAGGCATTTCTCCTTTGGCAATGGTGGTTAGGATGGCGATAAAATGTGTTTTTTTTTTCACAGTTTTCTTTTCATTTGTTTTCTCCTGTTCATTGTGGGTGTGGGGAACTTGATATACCACATAAACATACGCAAAAAGGAACTTCCCCACTTTTCTTACATAAATGCTAGTTATCTCTAACCCCGCACATTCAAACGACACAAACCTACAGAGCATATTCTCCTAAGTTAAAGGGAAAATTCAAAAAAGATATGCAAATAATCACTTACATGTTCTAAACAGCACGGCACCATTCATGATGCAAAAGGAACATATAAAAATACTTCACAAGATCTATCTAGCATTTTCCTTGGACAATAATTTTCAATTCCACTAGCTGGATAAAGCAAAAAAGAGGCAAATAAAATCCAGTACAAAATGTAAGACAAAAAACTTCACAAAAAACACCCTAGCCAAAGTACAATGTCACATGTGAGTTCTCTAGAAAGAAGAACCAGAAGAGCTATGATGATTTAGTACTAGTAAGATTATAGACTTTGTAAATATATGATCTTAAAGGATCTCAAAGCATTAGCAATTTAGCAACACTATCTTTACCTTTAAAATATATTATCACATTTGTCAATAATATCATTTCGCTCATATTGAAGATTAAGGTCTAGAAGTATTACCAGTGCCATTTGAATCATCAGAGTCAGCTTTGCAGTAAGAGATTATAAGATCCTGGTTACTCGTAATATAGATGTTATTTGTATTGCAATCAGGATACCACAACAAGTGATCCTCAAAAGAGGTAACAAGCTCCCCACGGAAATTCCAAACTGCTACATTTCGATCTCGAAATGTCAAGAACAACTGATTCTCATATAGAAAAATAAATGCGGATGGGGTTAAAAATTCTGTTTTGCTTACTTCCGTTAACTGGAAGTCCCGAACCTGGAAGAAAGATGAAGAGATACATCAGATGACTAATCATAAAATAAGCAAACACAATTAAATACTTACTTCAGGGATATGAAGAGGAAAATACATACATCAAGGATTTGTAGATTCTCATTCTCCTGTTTCACTAGAAGCTTTTCATTGAACTGTTCAATAAAGTCCAGCTTTTTAGTCCGATGAAGAAGATGGTTGAAGGATTTGAGAACCGTACCATCCTCTATAGAGAGAATTTTTAGAAGGACATAACTGGTAGCTTTCTTAAAAATCAGTAACATAATACCTGGGCTGTTTCAAGTAAAATAATGAAAGTTATGCTACACATTGCATAGAAATACTCAGACATAACATAAACAACCCAAAGTAGATTTAATGAACGAAAAATCAGGTTCCAGACATATCAATGATATCACTTTTAAGTCGAACATTAGAACTAAAGTTGCAGATAACAAAACATGTGTGGGTTCTGAATGATAGCACAAACATACATACTTGTCATAGAATCATCAGTCATATGGCCCTGCGTCTAAATGGTAGCACAAACGTCAATACTCACAATTCACAAACATCAATACTTTATACTTGTCATACAAACATGAAAGTTAAGCATATTCCTATTCAGTTCGAGCCCCCGTAATACATTGTACTTCGAAACTTGAACCAGCAAACAGCCAACTCGCCTTGTTAGCTATGTGTAAAACATTCTTCCCTTGCCATCTATCAATTATTTTGTCTGTATGTAGTCGTCTAGGATTTCCATCCTCCAAAGTAAAAAATATTATTAGATGGTTCACTTGTTGCATCTTTATCCCTTGCTCAGTTCTCATTGTTCTTAGTCGAACAAGGTAATCTTTGTGAAATAGAAATTCCATGTTTAATTCTATCATCTCATTTCCATTACCAAAACAAAATCCTTATCGTCCAATTATACTCAAATTTCCACTCTTTGTCAATGCTCACTACAACTAGGAAAAAAAACCCTTGCTCCCCACACGTAAGAAAAAGGAGTCTTCAGATGTCGTGTTAAGCCTAGTGCTTTGTGTTGCCAAGATGTAGCTTTTTATGCATATTACTCAGTTTGTTTTTTAGAATTGTCATAATTGACATCCAAATATCCCAAATCTTTTACCATTTAAATAAATGGAGCAGTCTAAAATAATTTTATAGCAAAATTATCAGCTTGACATCGAATTTCCAATTTTGATGTAAATCTCAACTAAGTAAATATGGCCTAGAGGATCTTGTAAATAAAACCAAGACAATCACCAGTAGGGAAGCCTTCCCGGTTAATGAAATTTAGAGGGTTGGGGAGCTTATTGTTTGGTCAAAATAGCTTTTAAGCTTACTTTTTAAAAGCCGGTATAACTTATAAACTTCAAATAATAAGCCCTCAGCTACATCCTCCTAAGCTTATGCAACCTAGGAGCGACCTCCAATGTACTTCAAAATTATTAAAAGCTCCTCTTTCCCCCATCTCTACTCCTATTAAACAGACAGGGTGTTAAGGATGAAGAGAAAGAAAAATCTCATCTTTCCCCCATCTCTACTCTTATGGTAACCATCTTTTCTCAGTCTCTTGTCTCCTTTTCCCTCTTCTCCTACCTCTTTTCTCATGTTCTCATCTCTTCTTTCCTCTATCTCTAACTCTTATATGGTTATTTGTAACCTAGATATTTTAGCATAGAGCAAAACACGGACACTAATATTTGCAAATAATGAATTTGAAGCATCAGAGGATCATTCTTTTTTGGAAGAACTAATAATTTATTGGTCCACAAACTAAGTTGCATATCAGTCTATACATAGTAAAGAAATCCTAGACTTATTTAAGTTTTAATAACCTAGCCTTCTGAAAGTAAAACTTCCATGGGCCAGACTAGTTTAGTTTCATATGCATCTCCCAAAATGCTTAGATGGCTGAATCTGATAAAGTCGCGGTAACCTAACACGATAGCCAAACTGCTGAACTTTATATTTGGAGCCCACAAAAAAGGAGAAGAAAGAGGGGGGAAAGGAGTACATGCCCCCAACCCCCACAAGAAAGAAAAAGATGTTTGTACTTAGAATTGTGCACTTCCAATAACGCTTATGAAGAACACGGGATAAAGAGGATGGAATAGCAAAGAACTATCTTAAAATTACGCATAAGTTTTCCATGCAGGTTTTTTAACATGTAAAAGTCACAACATATATAATAAAAATCTGTGAGGACATCATATGCAGGGTAATTGCATTAAGGAAACATAGATAACAAGGAAACCTCCAAAGCCCAAAACAAGGAAAGTTTACTGGCAGCAAATTTATTGATCATGGAAAAACTGACATAGCTTCACTTGTATAGTTTCTCAGAAGAACAATAATTCTTCTTTTGACTAATTTCAACATTTGAAAGAGAGATGCCAACTAACCTGATCTTAATTTCTTCAACACCTTTCTCTGATATAGAGTACAACAGTGCATAGTTTTTCAGGTCGAACACCTTGTATGTGCTGCTATGATAAAAAAAATTAAAAGATATCAAGCAATGTCACAACTGCTAAGAGCAAAACAAATATAGCCACCAGTGTTTTCAAAGGCGCGCGGCTCACTGCGCCTCATGCGCCTTACGATGCGGGGCGGTGGCGAAGCGCCCCACTTCTGATGCAGCAGCGTCTTTTTCGCCTCGCGTACATCCTTACTTTGTGCAAGGTGCATGTAGTACATATCATCATATAGTTTTGTTTGTTAACATTTCAATCGAGTCTTTATACTTGATATTTCATATCCGAAAAAGCATAATAAATCCATTAGGTCTTTTTAGTAGCATTCAATTGAGGACCATTACTAATCATTTGCTTGGACATTAGTCTTGATTTAACATTTGATTTGAAAATTTATGACTTTTGCTACTATGTTAGGTGTTAGCATTAGAAATTAAAGCATTATATTGTGATTTTATAGTAAGATATTATTTATCATGACATTTTTCATGTGAATTCTAAAAACATGTTCTTTCACGCTTGATTATATATTTTGAAAATTTATGTGGGCGGTGTGCACCTCGCATCACTCGGGCGTGCGCATCGCGTTGCGCCTTGCGCATGTGCGTGTAAAGATGCTTTGCACCCAGCATTGCGCCTCACGCATTGATAACACTGATAGCCACTGATAGCACTACTAAATAAGTTAATAATTACACTGTACCTATCATCAGAAGAATATGTGAGGACCTTCCCATTTACATCATCAAACTCTACAAAACCAGGCCATTTTAATGATTCTGACTCAAAAAGTGCAAAACCAGCATCAGGTTTTCCCTTCCGGATATACCTGGAAGCAATTAAAAGATTAGAATTATACAAGAAGAACTAAAAGGTAAAAAGGCCTATATAAGCAAAAGGTTTAATGGAAGGATTAGACATACTCAATGCTGGTTGATCTACATCTCAAGGAGCTGAAGTGGTCAGAAGCGTTAACTGAAACCGTTATCAGAGAATTATTATTTTTGTTATAAAACAAGCTGCGAATGGCTTCATCAGGAGTCACGTTTAGAAAGCAGATTCTCTGGTTTGTCTCTGTTTTAAATTGTAACATTGGAAAAATATTAGCTATACTTTTCAATAATGCGATAGGCAACGAAGTGTTTGGAGGAAAATAGTACCCACCTCTGCTAAATGCAGCACAAACCCCTGATTGTGTCAATGAAAAAATAATGTCCTTTGCCGAAACTATCTCAACAATTTTTGACCTTTTTCTCAGAAATGGCAATTGCGTGAAACTGTGTCCCTTGGGATCATGAGCGTCAAATTCTTCCTGAAGCAAAGAAATCTAAATCTTAGCGAAAAAAGTATAGATCAACTAAACCTAAAGGGAAAAGTGAATATATATGATCAAATATGTGCAAAACTCTTGGCAGTCTAGGCATAATAGTTATCAAGTATGAGTGATTAAAAGAACTTCAATCCTGGTAAACTGTCTCCGCATTATCTAGAGTAATCATGCATTCATGCTTATGTTCTCATATAGAAACAAAAGAAACATACAGAAGAAGCAAAGCAGAGCATACTTATAATGATAGACTATAAATGCTCAGGTGACCCTAACAAATAACAAAATAATATTTCCTCTGTGATAGTCTTCGTGTATGTATTTTAAATATTCCTTCTTGCATGTCCTGCTTTTAGCCTAAAAGAGACAACTCTATTCCATATTATATCTCCTCCTGATTATTCTGCTCTAAAGCTATTTCAGTAATTCAACAAACCCAGAGGAGAAAACTATAAATTACACAAGCAGCCAGCACCGAAAGGTGATCAATTCTAGCCTTTGATTTCGTAAATGTTCAACGCATGGTCCCAAGAACTTTCAGCACGAATATGTTCTTTGATTAGGGAACCTAACACCTGAGCTGAACAATGTACCAATTTGATGATCAAGTACACGATGATCAAAAAAATTAACTCCTTTTAATTGAATAGTGCGCTTGTCCTTCAAAATAATCAAGAAAGAAGTATGGCATCCCAGAAATAAAGGGAAAAAACAAAAAAAATTAGAGAAAAGAAGCCATCTCTTCTTCCGAAATCACCAAATCTTGGATATTAAAGATAAGAACGAGAAAACACCAAGAATTGAAAAAAGAATTCAAAACCCCAGCAACACAAAACTAATTAGGGCAACCAAAAGGAACAAAATTTTCTCCCAAAACCCTAACTTTTTAGGAAGCTCACAAACCTGCAATCGAATGTGCCGGAATTTCTCATGGTTATTGATGAAATTAAAAGAACGGCAGGGTTTCGAGCAGATCTCCCGCCTCCGAATCTTGTTAACGCTGTTGACGAAAGAATCGACCCTCGTCCGCTTTCTCGCCGAGATTCGCCGGCCGGAGCACGGTCTCGGGCTCGCCGAGATCCGCCGGCAAGTCTCCATCTTGGCCCCAAATCGAAACCCTAAGCCCTAAAATGGATCTAATTGCGAGGTTTAGAAATAATTGGCTTTCTTTTTTGCTTTTTTTTATTTTTTATTTTTATTTTTTTGGTGGGGTTTGGAGTTTTGAATTGGAGGAGGGATTTCGGGATGAGACAAGAAACAGAAAGGAGAGAGATGGGGGTGGCGGAATCGAGATGAAAATTATTAGATTTGGTTTTTTGAATTTTTCGGTTTGGGTCGGGTCCGGACGATGATCTTTCAAACTTCGGACGGGCCCATGGGTGAATTGGGTTGGGGTCTAATCGTACCCGATCCGAATCTAATCCGCGATCGGAAAGGAACACGCAGCATACAACCAAATCTCTAAAAAAGATAATAATCAAATATAGGATTGAATTTTTTTTTTTTTTGGAGTCTCATATTACCAGAAATCTAGATATTAAATACTTAGGCACTAAAGAGATCGATTGTTTCCGTCCCCAAAAGAAAGAAAATAGATATACGAGGCATTTTGAGAGATGGATTGTGATCTCGCGTTATTTATTAGCTAAGTTATCATCTTGCTGCATTTTGAGGCGTCGTAATCACATTAATTTTCGAACATAATTAAAATCTCTGTATTTCCTATGATTGTTCTTAGGTCTAATGTTTTCTTTTAATATCGTGATTTGTGAGTAGCTTTGTCGTTGTTTCGCTAACAAAATCTCCCAATATTTTGACAACTGATTGAAGATCTCCCCGCACTTTTACCTTCTATAGTTATTTTAATTTCTATGGAATTAGTTTCAATGCAACGAGAATATCATAGGATGTGACAATAATATGCACTCCCAAATAAACATATAATGCAAATCTTATCATCACAACAACTCTGCATGTGAGAGAGATTTCTTTTGCCATATATGAGTGATTCATATCTTCAAATTGCCGCATATCCTGTTAGATCTAAAACTGAGATCTAATCCATAAAACCATGATTAATTCAAAGAGAATAAACACAACAGTGAACAGAAGCAATACCTGAATCCATGAAGAATTTGCACGGATTTGAATTAGGGTTTTATCTTCTAATCTTGAGGGTCTCTCCTTTAGAATCTCTTTAGATGAGGATTAAGAGAATAAAGAATGTTACCCTAGATTAGGCATCATAACCTTTTATTTATAGTTGTTGTACTTTTATAATTTGGTCTATCATCAAATTATAATTACAACCTTGTATCCGCATATTTAGTCCATTATTTATTTAAATATCCATTAACCCAAATTTATTGATCACTTTATGCAGGTTGATCTTAAGGATAGCATTATACACTAATGTAACATATATGCCCATAATTAGATTTAATCCAACAATCTCCCACTTTGGCACTATATGTTTCATAAAAAATGTGTACAACCTTATGAGCTCAGAAATTGCTATCACAAATAAGGGTATTTCCAAACAATCTCGTCCATTGTCAATATCAATACAGGATCAAAGCGGTCTTCGTCATATTTATCGTGACTAAACCCATCAATGGTCACATATACCAATACAATCAAATGATATAGATCAATCATGGATGTGCAACATAAAAATTACATGCAATATGATCAGTACATGTATATTTTCAATTGATCATACCTTAAACTTTAGTGAGGTCAAAACTAAACATAATGAAACAGAGTGTCTTAACTGAATACTTTATTCTGATCAGACAATACAACCAAATACAAAGCACCATAAAATTACAAACTCCTACTAAATCATGATATCCTCGAATAACATCACACCCATATGAGCAGTGTGCTCATAAAAGACCTTGGGTGGCAATCATTTAGTAAGAGGATCTGCTATCATGGAGCTTATCCCAATATGTTCTATGGATATATGTCCACTCTGTAGCATTTCTTTCACAACCAGGAACTTAATGTCAATATGTTTTGACTTAGTTGAGCTCCTGTTATTATTAGAATACATAACTACAGATTATTGTCACAAAATAACCTTAGTGATCTTTCAATATTTTCTAAAATGTGCAGTCCAGTGATAAAATTTCACAACCATATTCCATGATTTGATGCCTCGTAGCAAGCTATAAACTCTGCTGTCATAGCAAAGGAAGCTACGAATGTATGTTTAATACTTTTCTATGATATAGCTCCTCCTGCTAGCATATAAATATAGCCTGATGTAGACTTTCTGCTATCTTGGCATCCAGCAAAATCAGAATCCGAATACACAATGACCTCCAACTGTTCTGATTTTCTTTATGTGAGCATATAATCTTTTATTTTCTAAAGATACCTCATAACCCTTTTGACTGCTATCCAATGATCCATACCATGGTTGCTTAAGTATCTACCTAACATCCCAACAATATACGCAATATCCGGACGCGTACACACATGAGCATACATTAGACTTCCTACAGTCAAAGCATAAGGAATCTTCTACATTTGCTAAATTTTAAGATTACCTTTAGGGCACTGATTTAGACTAAACTTATCTCCTTTAGCAATAGGGGTATCACATGGTCTGCAATCATACATGCCAAACATTGTGAGTACTTTATCGATATAGCTCTTTTGTGATAGTCCAAGTATATTGCGAGAACGATCTCGATGTATCTGGATTTCTAATATAAAAGAGGCGTCCCCAAGATCTTTCATTTTAAAATTCTTTGATAGAAATCTCTTGGTTTCGTGAAAAGAGGCGTCCCCAAGATCTTTCATTTTAAAATTCTTTGATAGAAATCTCTTGGTTTCGTGCAACATGCCTATATCATTAGTGGAGATCTTTCATTTTAAAATTCTTTGATAGAAATCTCTTGGTTTCGTGCAACATGCCTATATCATTAGTGACAAACAATATGTCATCGACATAAAATAATATTCATCTCAAAACCGAATAAGATAATTATGTGTTGAAACTTATGATACCATTGATAAGGAGCTTTCTTGAGTCCATATATGGATTTTTTTTAATTTGCAAACCATATTCTTTGGATCTCCTGACACAAAGTTTTCTGGTTGCACCATATAGATCATTTCATCAGTGTCTCCATTAAGAAATGCAGTCTTAACATCCATCTGATATAACTCAAGATCATAATGAGCAACAAGTGTCATGATTGTTCTGAAGGAGTCTTTCGATGAAATCGGAGAGAAAGTCTTTATACAATCAATGCCTTTCTTTTGAGTATAGCCTTTAGCTACAAGACATGCTTTATACCTCTCCACATTACCATTTGCATCACGTTTGGTTTTAAATATCTATTTACAACCAATTAGTTTTGCAACTTCTGGCAATGGGACAAGTTCCCAAACTTTATTGTCTTGCATAGACTTGTACTATTCATTCATGGCATTAATCTACTTTTGAGAGTTAGAATTTTTCATGGCTTGAAGGAAGTTGATTGGATCATCTTCCATCATTCCATTATTTTTCTCATGTTCTTAGAGAAATACAATATAATCGTCTGGAATAGCATTTCTCTTTTCTCTCGTGGATCTCCGTAATAGCACTGGTTCTTGAGGTTGTTGAGTTTGTTCTTCTGGAACAAGGAGTTGTTCAACATTGTCTTCTTGAGGTTCCAGATTTACTTCTTGATCAATAACAAGTATATGAACCTGAATATTGTCAAGAGTAACTGTATGGATTGGATCTGAAGTCAATTCCTCCTCAAAAGTAATGTCTCTGACTTTATTTCTCCCCCCCCCCCAACTCAACATCCTCAAAGAATATTATTGTTTCCATCTCAAAAATATTCCTAGGTGTGGGATCATAAAACTTATAGCCCCTAGAGCATTCAGAATACCCAATAAAGTAGCTGCTAACTATTTTAGAGTCTAATTTTTTTTCATTTGGCCTATAAGGCCTTACCTCAGCAAGGCATCCCTAAATATGTAAGTACTTTAAACTGGGTTTTCGACCAATCCAAAGCTCATAAGGTATTTTAGCAACTACTTTACTTGGTACTCTGTTCAGAATGTAAGTTGTTGTCTTAAGTGCTTCTCCCCAGAATAACTCTAGTAAAGAAGAATGAGAAATTATACATCTTACCATATCCTTAAGAGTCATGTTTCGTCTTTCTACTACACCATTCATGCTAGGTAAACCTGGCATGGTGTACTGTAGGACGATACCGTATTCCTCTAGGTATCTAGCAAATGGTCCTGAACGTGGTTCATCTGAACTATCATATCAGTCGTAGTACTCACAACCACGATCAGATCTAACGGTTTTAATCTTTTTGTTAAGTTGATTCTCAACTTCAGCTTTAAAAGCTTTGAACGTGTCCAGAGACTCAGATTTCTCAGGAATGAGACATAGGTACTCATAACAGGAGTAATCGTCTATGAATATATAAAATATTATTGACCATTATAAGATGCCGTAAGGAATAGCCTACAAATATCCGTATGTATCAATTCTAAGACATACGAAGATCTGTTGGCATCTAATCTCTTAACTTTAGTATGTTTTCCCTTGATACATTCAACACAAACGTCAAAATCCGAAAAAACAAGAGAATCCAAAATGCCATCAGACACAAGATGCTCAATTCTATCTTTTGGGATATGACTCAAGCGTTTATGCCATAATGCCACAGAATTTTTCCTTATTTAATTTACGCTTAGTACCACGTTATTCCACATGCAATGATTCATTTTAAGAAGTAATTGTATCAAGCAAATATAGGTTATCATAAGTACTCAAGTAACTGGTTTTCGTAACAATTGAATTAAAAGATAAACCGAATTGATTGTTTCCAAATGAACAAGAAGAACCTGGTTTGTCCAATACAGAAACTAAAATTAAATTCCGTCTAAAAGACGGTACTACAAAAGTATCTTTTAAATCCAAATATGACCAAGTTCCTAACAGCAACCTAAAGTGCCCAATTGCTTCCACATCTACCGATTGTCCATCGCCCACAAAGATGTGTCTTTCAATATCACTTGGCTTTTGGTAGCTCAGACAACCTTGCATAGAAATTCTTATGTGAGTAGTAGTACCAGAGTCTAACCACCAAGTGTTTCTAGGTACTGAAGCTAAATTAACCTCAGAACAGACCAAAGAAAGAAACGTACCCTTCTTAGCACGCCAGGCATGATATTTGGTACAGTCCTTCTTTACATGTCCTGACTTGTTACAGAAGAAATAACTCTGACCATCCTTTTGTTGTTTCTTCTGAACAGGACCCTT